GAAGCGTTCATTGGTCGCTTCGAACTCAGAATTTTTTGCATCTTTCAGCGAGCCTTTCGCAACCGCATCCAGCTCGTATTCATTATCCGCTTTCAAATAAGCATGCCTACCATCGTCAGTTTCTTTCGTTTTCAATTGTGCTCTGCAACAAAAGTTAGCATTTTCTCCAGAAACCCTATCACCAAATCATTATTTCATTGCCATTCTATTTAATGATATACAACGAAGATTGGTTTGTAGAATCTATTGAAGCACTGGATTGGTAATAGATATCGGGTTGTTGCGGCAGCTTTTGCAAATGTGATATATGCAAAAATATGATGATATATGGAAATTGGATGATGATAGGATGTATTTAATAAAACATTCGGTTTCGAGCAAGACTTCATTAGCAAAATGTCTGGATATTCAGGTCGAAATCGGGTTTAACAATCTCGTTGACGTTATCCAGCCTGTTACAAGCGATATTTTGGATATATCCAATCGCGTTTATAGCTTGAACACTTGGGAATAGGATTGGGACTAATGAATTGCATCTCCTCTCGTTTAATTTAACACAGCAGCAGAAGAAACGAGAGGCAATGTGGCACAATTGCTGATAATTGCTTATCAGTGATAATCACTAACTTATGTCCGTTGACTAGTGCAATGCCGCCTTTGTCGCCGAATTTTTTAACTTGAGCTCGATGCCCATCTGATGTTTCTGCACCCGCGACATTACCATGCGCTGACGCACTGAGCTGTTTATGGGAGTTGATTAGATCCAGTAAGACCTTCTCTTTATCACTCGCATCCAGTCCAACCTTAAACATGTCGAAATCTAGCTCGATAGATTCATTCCACTCAGGGTTGACAAGTAGTTTTTATCAGTCACTTCAGAGCTCTATGGTTTTATCATTGCTATCATCCGGTCATTCTTTGCATAATTTTCACCATGTCCTTATCATTTCTTTGTAGCTCCACAACAACGCATAAAACAAATCTTATCAATTGATCATCGTGTCTGCTAGATCAAAATCTAGATGAAAATTTGATGAAAACTTGTTAGATGAAAATTGTTAGATGAAAATAATTCGAGATACACAAATTTTTTACAGTAGGCGTTTTCTGCACTTGGTGCCATTTCTCTAACGGTGGCTGTTCTTTAGAACACGATAGGTTTTTCGTTCCCTACATAATGCATTAATTATTCATATGGAATGGTCAGACCCAATAATCCCATCGAAAGGCAGCTTATAATGCAAAGTTTTCTGCTTATTGTTGATGAAAATCAAAAATTTTTCCATATTAAACTCTAAATTTTTCATATTCCATTATTTCAGCTATCTACGAACGATTTCAAAAAAATTGAGGTTAACTGAGCATTGTTTTTATGTACAATCCAATTTTCGTTGAATATGTTTTTCTCATATTGTTCATGTACTGAAGTTGACTTGATAATCAGATCAAATCAAACCCCATACAATATCAATCAATAAATTAATTTGTGCACATTGCATTCGATCAACGAAAGTGATTTACAGTCGTGTCATTAATTTGGGTCACACAAAATATATCCATCCATATTGATGATGGATGACAACGACCCACCATAATCAAATTAACCGCAAACGAACAATATTCATCATTTGTAGGCCATTATTTCATTCTTAACCGAATGCACATTGGAACAGTCCAAATATTCTCTATCAAGGAGTTAACTGGCTACTCAATATCCTATATTATCTGGCTCTAGCTCAGTAAGTCCTGTAATTTTTCAATGAAACCATTCAGTACCAAAGAGTTTCTAGTTCGCACGGACGAAGTCAGATTTTTTTGTTATAGATCTTGATAGCTTCAGTGATCTGCCTTGATGGTGATGACATAACGAAAAGTTTTCAGTTGCATTCGAAACAATGATTGTCTCGCAACTGAATAGTGCTTCAATTGCTAATTCAATATCCTGGATCCTTCTCCTCACTCAAAAACAAGAAAGAAGGGTATTACACTTAAGGAAACGTGAATGTGTGGTAGAGGAATGACTACAAGTGTTTCGATCAGGTTATAGAAAATTGCAATTTTTAAGCCCAACTGAATACTTCAAAAGGCATTACCTTTTGTACTTCCAGTCCAGCTTTATCCAGCCACGACGAGTCAACATCGATGTGTTTTCGTTGTTCATTGATAGCCACATGATTTGGGCGAACATTTTGAGACAGAACATTGTGAGAATAACTCAAAATGAGTAGCAGTGAAGTAGGAATAGCATATAAATTTATCATCGTGATTTAATGAACAGCGAAATAGTGCAGTTGAACCAGCGCAGTGTCCAGCAAACTGCAAACTGAATCAATCGACGACTGTATGAAGATACAGAATTATATGAGATGAGCGATTGAAACGAACGAATTTGATTCAAAAAGAAGAAGATATGAAATGAATGGACTGTCGAATTATTAGATTTGGTTCAATATGAGTGGAGATGAATATGACAAGATGGATATTACGAATCAGTGATGATGCGCTATGATAAACTTGATGAGCAACTTGTTTTCACCATAAATAAACAACACCGGTCGCGTTGAATAAAACACAACAAATCATTGTTGTCTGATGAGATCCGCTGTTATTTTGAACGAAACTTTGGGTTTTCAAATAAGACAAT